ACTAATAATATATATATATATATATATATATATATATTCCACAAAAAAAGAAAAAAACTAGTTCAAATTAAAGGGAGTATACTGTTTTTCTTGTGCTTCGAGACCTTTCAAACTGAGCTGTATTTAGATATTTGTTGCAAGTTGGCTTAATGGATATAGGTGTTGGGAAGTGGTATAAGAAGTTGAGTGGAACAAGTTAGGGATAAATTAAATATTTTTATTAAAATCGACTCTAAAGAAATTTGACAAAATATTCTAAAATAATTTTAATATAAAAAAGTTATATGTTATAAATAATTATATAAAATATTTATTACATACTAAAATATGGCAAAAAAGAAAAAAACAAAAAACAAATAAAATAATCATATTTAATAAAAATTAGATTGGGTTGAGTGTTCGACCAATTTTATAACTCATCATCCAACATGTTTAGTTGAACATTGTGAACAAGATTCTCTTGAGGGGCAAAGTAACAGTTACAAATCTAGTCATGATAGAAGATCCTATTGATAATATTGTTAAATTATATTTGGCCTTAGTTAATGAATGAATATATGCACTAAAGATGTTTATATGTAGGGAGGAACTATCTTATCGGATTAGGCTAAAGTGTTATGTTATTTTCTTTTAATTAACTATTTTGTATTAGTAGTTTGAAATCTCTCTTTTTTATTTTTCTTTTGTTCTTTAATCAGCTTGCAGTGCTTTCTTTTTTTACGATCAATATAAATCTTAGTGTGTTACAGAATGTCATTTGTGAAGATTGTTTTTCCTACTTTCACTAGGAGAGTTACTTTGTTTCCTCAGTTTAAGAAACTTATCTTTCTAGAAAAATGTATTTCAAATATTTTAACCAATCGAATATGGGAAATATCAAAGTACTATTTCTTTCCTGTCCTCGTTAGTTCTCTTCAATTCCCATCCTTCTTTACATTGGAGAATGAAAATCTTCTCTCATCTATTAGATATCCTTTACTAGGAACTCGTGATTTGAGAGAAGAGATATGGTTCCACCATCGTTAATCTTGTGTATATCACGTGTATAAGTAGTGTATACATTTATGTGTATATCTTGTATATATTCTGTGTATCTCATGCGCATCTATATTATATACATGACATATTATATAAACAGTAATATATAAATGATACACATGGAAATTTTCTTACCTTAAACCTTGACTTTGATGATTTTCTAGATTTTAATGACTTGAAGTTGGAAACTAGAGACGTTAGTGCTGAAAACAAGCCCTTAGACCAATGAACCATCTATCCATTTTGAGAAAGAGCTCCGATAGCTAATATTTAATATATTCATTAATAATTATACAAGTAATATATCGATTTTAATTGAATGACTTCGAATCCCGATGATTCAAATTTAATACACAAATTAATTCCTGGCTGTAGTAATGGGTTGCATGTTCACATTTGAGGTATACCATGCCCCTCTCTAATAGACCAAGAGTGAGAGGAACTTTTAGAAAAAAATATTTTTGATTTTTTCAAATTTCTGAACATGCTTTGCTAATTGAAAATATATGGTGAGTTACTCGTGTATAATATTGATTGGATTTAAGCAAAAATATTTTATATGTAATTTCAGATAATATTTTTGTGTCAGATTTGATTTCGTGAATTTTAACTTTTAAAATTATGTATTTGAAGCGCTAAATATAGATTAAATAAAGATATAAATAATCGGTCACATAAAATTTTGGAAAACTACATAATTAGACATTCTTCATTATCATATATACTACTATTACCTCTATTTTCAAAATTTACTTGGATACAATGTATTAATAACAAATTACACCTAAATTAAATTAAATATATCTCAATGTACTACGAGGTACCAAATGATAATATACATAATATTATAAACTAATAGAGTAAAATTGATTTAAGTTCACCCTAAATATTTTACCTTGTTATTACCACGAGCTTAAAAGGTCAGGTGGATGATTAAGCTTATTAATTAGCTAAACTAATATATAATTAAATATGTCATGATTTCAAAAGGCTATTTATTTATTTATCGCGTATAAACTTTAAGAGCATGGTGACTGAACCATCGAGGTGAAGTAAGAATAAGACTTTTGACACAATTGGACATTGGATTTAACCAATTAATTATCCAATCAACACTCAAATTCAATTAAATCTAGTATCTACTTTTCAAACATTCCTTTGTTACATCTTACATTTAGTCGTTATTTATTTTTTTTTATAAAAAAATTGGCTTTATTTTTATTTCTTTCTTAGTCCCCCCCTTTTTTTTTCTTAAATAGTACAGATATGCTAAAATCAAATAATTGCTGGATCAAACAAAAGAAAATTAAACAATAGAGAAATAGTTGGCAATGGAAGAAAACAATGAGGTTCCTCCACCAAATCTGAACCAAATAATGTGAACAGATAAATCCTTAAAAAAAGTCATTTTTACATTTTACACAACAAATTCATTCTCATGCACATTAAGCTCTCTCGATATCACATGGATAAAATTCTCCGTCCTTTAACTTAAAAATTTCAAATTCAAATCTTTATAATATAAAAATCATCCATTTAAATAAATAAATTTTATGCGAATCTAAATAAATCATTTGAATTTGTGGCCTCCACTAAAGCACCTCACATTATTTCCTTTTTTAATATTTGGTTTTAAACTCAAAAATTAACTTAATATTCATTATTGTCGTTATTTTGGTGAAGGTAGACATCAAACAACTTGTGACTTTGAAAGTTCAACTTGAAGAAAAGATTGATTATTGAATTAGCTGTCTTTTCCGCTGTTCCAATTTCTATTCAATGCCTATTGTGATTTGTAATTCAATATATTTAAAAAAATAATCCTCTGTTCTTGTGAAGAAGTTAGCATTTTGTCAGCGATATGGAGGAGAGACAATTGTTGTTTGACAAGTATGAAATCGGAAAGTTATTAGGTAAAGGGACTTTTGCGAAAGTGTACTATGGTAAAGAAGTGGAAACAGGGGAAAGTGTAGCCATTAAAGTGATAAAAAAAGATCAAGTTCAAAAAGAAGGAATGATGGAGCAGATCACAAGAGAAATCTCAGTGATGGGGCTGGTTCGACATCCGAATATAGTTGAACTCAAAGAAGTCATGGCGACAAAGTCTAAAATCTTCTTCATAATGGAGTATGTTAAAGGGGGTGAGCTTTTCGCAAAATTAGTATCCAAAGGCAAATTTAAAGAAGATACAGCAAGAAAGTACTTTCAACAGTTGATAAGTGCTGTTGATTTCTGTCATAGTCGAGGTGTTTATCATCGCGATTTGAAGCCTGAGAACTTACTCCTTGATGAGAATGAGGACTTGAAGATATCTGATTTCGGGCTATCGGCTTTGCCTGATGAGCAGTTGAGTAGAAATGATGGTTTGCTTCATACACAGTGTGGGACACCAGCATATGTTGCTCCTGAGGTTTTAAGGAGAAAAGGTTATGATGGTGCAAAGGCTGATATCTGGTCATGTGGGGTTATCTTGTATGTGCTTCTAGCTGGTTACTTGCCATTTCAAGATGAGAATGTGATGAACATGTACAAGAAGATCTTCAAGGCGTATTTCGAGTTCCCTCCTTGGTTTTCAATGGATTCGAGGCGTTTGATATCTAAACTTTTAATGGCTGATCCAGACAGGAGGATCACTATTCAAGGTATCATGAGGGTTCCATGGTTTAGGAAGGATTTCGCCATGCCACGGGCTTTTTCAATCCAAGATTTTCAAAAGTTAGAAAATGATCATGTTGAAGAAGGAATGAGCAGCAAACAAGGAGGAGGGGTCCTAAGGAAATCCCCTTCATCCCCTGCATTTTTCAATGCATTCGAGTTGATCTCATCCATGTCTTCTGGTTTCGACTTGTCTAGCTTGTTTGAGATCAAAGGGAAGGCATCATCCATGTTCACTTCAAGGAGCACTGCCCGGGATGTTATCCGTAAAATGGAGAAAATGGCTAAAGTTATGAGGTATAAGGTTTATAGGGTAAAACCATTCAAGTTAAAGATGCAATGCCCCGAGGAAGGACGAAAAGGGCGGTTGTTGGTGACCGCTGAGGTGTTCAAGGTGGCCCCGGAAGTCACCGTGGTCGAGCTCTCTAAGTCCTCCGGCGACACCTTGGAGTATAACAAGTTTTGTGAAGAGGAAGTTAGGCCTGCGTTGAAGGACATTGTTTGGACATGGCAAGGGACAGGTACTGGAAATGCTGATATTGATAACAAACAGGACTTGGAGCAATAAACATTTGGTACATGTGCATTTTTCTCCCTCTTCTTTTTGTGTTTTTGTGTTTCGCTGAAATATATCATCGGAGATATTCGTGTTACTGATGATTTGTACATTATATTGTGTGTTATACTGACCACTTTCAGATTTGTATTGTTTGCATGTCGTATTTCCTCTAGTTATTCAAGCACAATTAATCCAAGCTTGTAGGGGATTTTCTTCAAAGGGATATATTTCACCTCCCTTTATCTATTTGTAAGTTGGACATTTTGTTCAGATTTGATATCAATTAATTCATGGTCAATAAATATATGAAGATAACTTATCAAAATCTATGGGTTAAATGCTAGCTTAGTTGTGAACTCATAAATTTTGCTGTTTAAATTTCTTTAGGTTCTTAAAGAATTTAATTAATATGTGTTGATCGAGTAAATTAATACTATAAAAATAACAATATTTACAAGTATTTCAACAGGGAGTTCCAACACCCCACATGACTCCATCCACAAAGAGATAATATAATGTGGGTTCAACTATTTATTTAATTAAGCAACATCTCATTTTCCATGACAATGTGACACCTTGTATTCAAAGAATATTTAATTATGTATGCCACCTCTCATTCAACTTGTCAATTTAATCAGCACCTAAATTTGTTTGGCTGAGTTTTAGCTACCACACCAACTCAAGAAAAAAAAACAAAAATCATCCAATTGGAACCAATTTATTGGTTACAAATTAAGAATATGATATCTTTTTATTCTATTATTTTGCTAATTTTGGAAGCTAATGAGATTGCTTATGTCTTTGGAGTTAGGTTGTTTAGCATATGAGAAAATAGAGGGAATTTTGAACTACAATAAACTCTTATTTTTATATATCTGTAGTAAATAACGATCATCCAACTACTACCAAACTAGAAAATATAATAATTTTTTAAATTTAAAAATCTGTTTTTAATCATGCAAATTTTAAATTTAACTTGATGTTATAATCATATAGAACTTTATTTTTAACTTCAATTCGGTAAATTCCAAATAAAATGAAAACTATGCCCAAACCCTCCTAAAATATTGTATTAAATTAAATCTGTAGTCATGTCACTGCTGGTCAAGAATGTCGTCTACATGAGAGCATAATCTTAATTTTTTTTGTAAGGGCTTGAGCACTTGTATATTCTAAACCAACTAACTATTTTGATAGGGGATTTTCTATTAATGATATATAATGCAAATACATCTAAGTTGAAAGTTCATACTACTATTGCAAAATGTAAACATAAAATAATATTATGGAACTAGACAATGTTTGAAGACCAAATAAAAAAGTTCATATATAATCTCCAGTAATTTACAATAGGGCTAGATGAGTCTACTTCATTTTCCTGGAACAAAGTTTGTGGCAAAAGCCCATGCATTGTTGTTAACTGGATCAGCGATGTGGTCTGCAAGATTTTCCAATGGGCCTTTTCCTGTGACAATAGCTTGAACAAAGAATCCAAACATGGAGAACATAGCAAGTCTCCCATTCTTGATCTCCTCTACTTTGAGTTCAGCAAGGCCCAATGGGTCGAAGCTACCACCAGGGTAAAGTGGATCAACAACCTCACCAAGAGGCCCACCAGCAATACGGTGACCCTCAACGGCTCCCATCAAGCCCAAATGGCCAAGATACTTTGTGCATGGACCCCAAGTAATCAAGTCCACCCTCACTGAAAATTTGAGAACCAAACAGCCTCCCCAAACTTTAGGCTAATAGCTCGGGAAATACACAACCAAGAGCATGCTCCAAGCATGGCCCATCTACAATGGATAACCTCCAACTCACGGTTCTTAGCAAAAGTTTCTGGATCAGCTGAAAGTCCAGCAGTGTCCCATCCGTAGTCACCAGTCAAGTAGCTTGGGGATTCACCAGAGAATGGGCCCAAATACTTCACACGGTCAGGCCCATACCATGGACTACCAGAAGAGACAGGCTTGGCCTTGGCAGCGGCAGTCTTCCTCATGGTGAATCTTCCATTTCCGGTGATTTCAGAAGAAGATTTACTGCCTTTCCAGCAAATGTAGATGAAGAAAGAGCCATTGTAAAAGTAGAATGAGAATGCACTTTGTGCACACACTTTTATAAAAGAAAAAATGAACAAGAGGAGTTGATTTGAGGCTTGAGTTGTATGGGCCTTGCACCAAACTGTATATAAAGGCCCAATATCCATATCCTTGAATATCTATATCTGCTTTCTCATTGGTGGATTCCAATCTGTATATATCCTCTTGCATTCTTGTTCATTTTATAATATGTTTTTAAAAAAAAATAATCTAACTCAATGTTGATTTCCTCTCTTACCGCCAATACATAGTTGCCACGTGTGATTGTGGATTATTGCAATACAAATGTGTTTGTGTTGTATGGAACGAGAGAAAATTGTACAAATACATATATTTTCGTTCCCCTCTTCCAGACCTCACTCGGCAGTCTCTCCCTCGCCTCTCTCACTTATACAAATAAAAATGTATAAATTGCGGTCTTATTTGTATAAAGTGAGAGAAAATTGTATATACACATGCAAATACATATATTTTTGTGTTATACACATATAATTATACAATACAAATATAACCCTGATTAGTTCTCTTTTGTCTTCCTCTCTTTCTTGTTTTATACAAACACAGATTATGCAATTGATCTTTTGTATTTGTATAAACAGAAAGAGATTATACAACTGTTTTCTTTTGTATATGTATAGCGAAATATACATATTTATATTTGTTATGGAGCGCAATTATGCAAACTATAACTATAACATACAAATATAATTTTTGTATTTGCTATAGCGAAAGATGCTCTTTAATATATTTGCCTTAAGCTATTACAATTATCTAAAATTGTCCACGTAATTTATTAAGCCTTATTATTTGCACTTAATAAAATTCTTAATTTTAATCATTCATATCTCAGTTTTTAAGTCTTGTTTGTTTTTAAGATGTGTACATTTATCTTTAGATCTTAATCTTTAAAATGCATTTATTTATTTATTTATAATTACTTAATGAGTCTGAATGAAAGTAGATATAGTAGCAGTGATCTGTCATTTTTGTAAAATATAACTATCAGCACCGACTACCGTCAATCATTTACCATATACCATCCACAACGTCCATCACTTCCATCAATCACCAAAATCAATAGTAATCACGATTAGCCATTATTTATACTCATGATCACCACCAACAATTATTACATCAACTTATATTTATCAATAATTACCATCAGTAATCATTATTAAATATCGCTAACCATCATCGTCATTCACCATGGCCATTAGTTATTGATTTCATTTCATTACTAATTATTAGTCAACACCATCAATAACCACAGCTAATCATTGCCGTTATTAATATATCATAAGATACAATCTACAATCACCATCATCAGTCAATACCATTCCAAATCGGCGCATAAATCATTGTTATCAGTCATCATCAATCTACACCATCCCAAATTAGTACAAAATCTCTTATATAGAAATATGGTTTGATCATATAAAATAATATGGTGATAAAAGTAGATAGAAATTTCAATATGTCAAACCTCAACTTTTTTTTACCCAAACTAAGAAAGAGCGAAAAAAGGTACCCCAAGCTTAATTCTATAAATAATATTCGCTCCGTCTCATTTTACGTGGCATCATTTCCTTTTTGGTCAGTCTCAAAAAGAATGTCACATTTTCTTATATTAAGTAATTAAAGATACAATTTCTCTTTTACCCTTTTTGATCCCACTTAATTTTTAATATATTTATAAAAAAAAGAGAAAAATAAATTACTTTTTGAAGAATAATTTGATAAACATTTTAAATATCAAATGATTTAGGGGAAAAAAACATGAGTTCACATGAATTCATACTCCTCCACTTAAAAGATGCATGTTAATCATGTTGTCAACGTAGTTGTTATGAAATGGAGAAAGCGGAGAATTTACTAGCTTAGCTAGTTCATTCAATCATGGAAAAATATCATGATTTGCTTTTAGCAAAATGAAAATTAACACTATCTAAGTAAAAATTAACATCATCTGTTCATTTCACAACTTGAATTAAAAAAACGTTTGATTTATATTGTGATTTTATCTACAGCTTTATTTTGTAAATTTTTTACTAGCTTTATTATAAAAAAAAAATGTTCACATTTAAATCCTAGGAAAACGTCACGATACATACGTCATCCTTGTATTACGTGACTTAAATATATTAAAACTTTATTTCAAAATGACTTTAGAAATATCAAAGACTTTATTTGGTAGCCACAAAAGACAAGTAATAATTAGAAAACAAAGGACATTTAACTCAGAGATTATACCGCTAATGATTTTCCATTTTTAAAATATCATGTAAGACTCATGTTTAAATAAAAAGTGACTTATTTTGTGCAACTACTATGACTTTGTCCTTCTGCTGAGGTGTAATCTGAGTGGATTAATCATGTCACATTCTCCATTAAAGTCTTCTTTTGAAAATTTTTTATTAATGAATTCTTTATCTGGGTGTATTGATCATGTATAAGCTTTAGAATTCTTTATTTAGAGATGTTTTGGTTATGGGTGTTAAATTATATATATTTCAAAAACATAATTGTCTGAGTGATAGGAGAATTGTCAGCGTTATAAGAAATTCAACAATTTTATCTCGATCATTCTTATCGATACCTCCCCTTGCCTCAAACCAGAACATATTATATTCGCAGTTTACTATCGGTCCAATGCGCGCCAGACATTCAAGAATCGAGAGTATATTCACAACTCCTTATACGGTGGAGGATTTTGTACCGGACCTAATAAATTTAATTATGATACTATGTGAAATTAAATTTTGGACCTAACTTGCATCTCAAAAAATTAACTCAATGAAAGAAATATTGTTCAAACCTTATAAGGCATCCAAAATACTCGTCTCAATCCTAACATGAGATCATTCTCATTTCTCATCAACAGACTTTGTGTAGATTATTTTGTATATTTTTATGTCTTTCTTACTTCAATATAATCTAGCTCTAATTTATTGAAATAATGTACAGCATGAAATATTTTTAGAATATCCTAGGCTCAAATAGTTAGCTAGTAGCTACAAGAATAGTTATTTATTGTCAATTTACTAGCTAGTTCCATTTGATTTGCCACTCGTAATTATTATATTGTCAATTAAAATCTAGAATAGTTTAACTACTTTTTTCTAATACACGAGAAAAGACTTTGAAGAAAACAAGCAAAAGTCATGAGAGGGTGCAAAAATTGAATCATTGCAACATTTACGTCATTTGGGTGATGCAAAATAATGGACGTCACCACTACTTGTCAAAATTAAGTCTTTTTCCACGAAATTAACCTACTAATATATTAGATTCTAGATTCTTAGTAGGTCTGTTATTTGAAGTTTTGATGATTTGACAAAAAACAAAAACCTTATGAAAATATCTGATTCTCAGCTCAAACTGTTTTTTGACTGCCAGCTGAAGAAAGTACAAATAGTTCGTGCACAGGTTCCAACAGTGTCAGAAGCGTAAGAAATCTTAATCAATGGCATGGGTTTAAGGATAGTGATCTTTCTATACAAGGACAACATCTTCATACACTTCACTTGGTTTTTGCAACTTGAAAAAGCACATTCAAGAACTCTTGCAAAGGCTTAGAAAATCAAGAAGAAGAAATATTCCAAACAACTCAAGCTCAAGCGAACATAGTGCGTAGTTGTTTAAAAGTACTTTCTTCCGATCTTACATTGTGAATTGATCCTAAAACTATAAAGAAATCAGTGTGGTTTGATCCGAAAATTCTAAGTTAGTTAGTTTAACTAATTTAGTGGGCAACCTGTGAGTTGCTTAGAAAAATTCTAAATCACTAGTAGGTTGATGGTTTAGTGGGCAGTCTGTAAGATTGCTTAGAAAATCCTAAGTTGTCTAGTGTGATAACTTAGTGGGTAGAGTAATATCTACTAGGCTCATCAAGCAATAGAGCTATTGCTTGATAGTGAGATTAAAAACTTTTTCTCACATTTTGTATAACCGGTTTCCTTTTGCTTGTGAAGATTAGTTAAACGGTTTTGAAAATCCTGTGAGACAGGCCTTGGTTTTACTCCCTTGAACAACTATTACATTTTTGTGTGTCAAGAGACATGGTCCATTGACTTGTTGTGGATGCACCGATTCTAACAAGGTCCCTTTTTTTTTAAGATATAAACCATCCACTCAGGTTTTCATCTCTCGTGGTGATGGGGTTTGGCTCGGACTCACATTGATGGTTAACAAAATGAACACACTCTTTATAAGGTTTAGACAACTCTTCTACTTATGAGCTAGTTTTTAGTGTATGAATTAGATCCAAGACCTAATTTAACATGATGTTAGAGCAAGACTAATCAACTACCAGAAAAATGTGAATTACATGAGGATTTTTTTTGAGATTTAGTATGAAAATTCGCAGAAAAATAAATTTCATGCGAATTTTCATACTAATTCTCAGAAAATATATATGTGTAGTTCACAGTTTTCTTATAGTAATCTCATCCAATATTGAACAGTCGAAATTGAAATTAATAATAACAAAAGGACCTGATGATTAATAATGAGATATGCAAGACTTCTTATAACAAGAGATGCAAAAGAGTAAGAGGGAAGCAAAAGGTCCAATTTAAGGGTATATAAAATAAATAGAAGAGGCTATCATTACTTGAAATGGTGGAGATATATACTTAAATAAGCAATTAGCAATTCTTGATCAAATAAAAATGAAAATTGACCAAGACTTGAAAATAGACTATCTTGAAAGTAGTACATTTCACTTTCACCAAGTCTTTTTAAATGGTCACCTCCATAGTGAAGTCTTTTAATACGCAATTACTAATACTATACTTTTATATACCCTCAATTTCCTTGCACTTTCCCTTCCATCCGAAGACCAAAAAATATATTTAATTACTCCCACTTTCTTTATCCCTTATAAATACCAATCTTACCCAATTCCTCTCTTCATTCCATCAATAAAACCAAAAATAGAAAGAGAGAAAAAAATAATAATATTAAAATTAGATTATATTCCATAGACACAAGTATGGGAAACAAGTCTTTTTTTATTGACCTTAACACAAATCCCTTATTGCACAACATCAATAGAAGTCCGATACCGGTAAGTAAAAATTTGTATTATTGTGTCACTTTCTTGTAAATACGATAGATTACCTGCTATAACATGTAATTTGATTTTATGTAGCGTGAGACGTTGGATGAAGAATTGAGTAGGATGAGAGAGGAGAACAAGAAACTAGCAACAACACTAACAAGTTTGTATGAAAAGTACAATTCTTTGCAAACTCATATAATTGAGTTGCAACAAAAATACTCAAATCATGAAGAAGACAACTCTAAATTATTATTATCAAGAAAAAGAAAGGCTGAAGAAGATTATTGTGTGAATAATTCATACATCAATTTTGAAGAAGCATCACCAAAGATGCCAAGAGAAATCACAACTAATATTTCAACTGTTTGTGTTAAAACTAATCCCTCCGATCAAACTTCAGTAAGTTCAAAAGATTTTTCTAACCGTCATTCTCTATAACAACATTTCATTATAAAATAACTATGTCTTTTGTAGAATCGATCATTTAACTCTTTATAATAGTCATACTCTCAATTGAACACAAATAAAATATCATCCTTATCTTAATATATATTTTTTTTAATTGGTCTGGGTTTATACAGGTGGTGAAAGATGGATATAATTGGAGAAAATATGGTCAAAAAGTGACAAGAGATAATCCTTCTCCAAGAGCCTATTTTAAGTGTTCATTTGCACCATCATGTCCAGTCAAGAAAAAGGTTAGTTTACTACTCCCTTCTCTCTATTTTAATTATCATGCTTATTAAAAATAATTAATTTAAAATAGTTATCATTTTTAAAAATTAAATATTTATTTTCAATTTTACCCTTGCTCAATAAATAAAGATAGATATTAATGAAGTGAAAAACAACATAATATAAAATTAAATTAAAGTAAAAAAGTAAATAAAGATAATTTATTCAAATTATGCTTTTAGTTGATTCTCCCTCAAATGTTGACTGAATTTATGAGGCAGTGTACACATAAAAATATTGAAGAATATAATTTAAATACACTTTCCACTATTGTCTTTTTCATCGGTATAACTTGTCTTCTAGAAAATATCAAATTTTATTAAGAAAGAGACAAATTTTGAAAAAAAATTAAACCTTGAACTTTGAATACTTTAATTATTTTAAATAATAAAAAAAGCCTAAAATTCAATTAATATAAAATAGAGGAAGTATTTTATTAGTGGTTGTGCAAATAAAAACATGACAAATAGAAGACAAAAGATGGAGTTAGATGGAGCTTCATGGGTTCGGACGAACTCAGTAGCTTTTTCATAAACCCTACACTTGTATTAAAAATTTAATTAAATATTTATGTATATTAATTTATGAATCACTAACAAAGTTAATTGACGTTTGTTAACAAAATTTAGAACCCCAAAACACTTAATCCCCGCTTCGGCTATGAACTAGAAGGAGTAAATGCTTGGAAAAGGATGTGTTTACTTTAATGTTCCCACCTAACATAAGAGTATAGAAATGAAATAACATTACTATACTAAGTATTTAATTTTGTGTTGTCTAAATTTCTTTTATATTAATAGGTACAAAGAAGTGTTAAAGATGCATCAATTTTAGTAGCTACATATGAAGGGGAACACAATCATCCCCAACCACCTCAAGCTGAAATAACAGTGCCATTAGTGAATACAACAGATCCAACATTTTTGAACAAATTCATGAAAGACATCAACACAAATTCAGTGCAACAACAATATTTAGTCGAACAAATGGCGTCTTCGTTGTCGAAGAATCCTAGTTTTGCAGCTACAGTTGCTACAGCCATCTCAGGATTACTTTTTTGAATTATATGATGATTTAATTACCTTTCAAATGACACAAAATTACTGTTTGTTGAGAGGATTAAATTGTTATTGTATTATATATTGGAGTAACATGTTAGTTTTAGTTTTAGTTAGTTGCTCATGAAATTTAGTTAGATAATGAAAGTATTGACCAAACTAAGCCATTATTCATCAAAATAATATGTTTTTTTTAAATTTTACAAAAGTAGTATAAATGTATTTCACAGTAACGTTTAGGGTATATTTTATTTTTTAAAAGGTGACGAACAATTTGTGTATCATGTTCAACTAATGGACATTTTGTATCAAATATAAATATCCATCAAATTTTATAAATTATCAATTTATATTGAACATAGTTACTCTTTTTTATCATTATGTATCAACTAAATATTAAGATACTCTGTAATTACATTAAATTTGAAATATGCTACTCATGATTTTCCTTCCTTTTTTCACTCCACAAATCTCTCCATAGTTACTTTCATTAATCAATTTTTTAATTTTAATTTTTTCTCTTTCAACTAATGATTTCAAGTTATTCAAGAAGTAGATTTATTTCAATCCTTCAATTTTCAATTTCTTTTATTATTTTTTTAAAAATCATTTTTAAAAATTACTGAATCTTTTACTCTCAATCTCTTTATGAAATAGGGTGACAAAACATTGCTAGTGCATAAAGTTCATCTTGGAGCGTATTTGGAATGGTTTCAGAAATTTCTAATGGCGATCTTGATACACTTCATTCTGCTGGTTCGATCTTTCAATTTTTTGGACTTACTTCCAATGTATCTCGCCTCTTTTGATTATTAAATTATTATCACTGATTCGATACATCACTGCTACAATAGTCTTTGTTTTATTCAATGTATCATGTTCATTTTTAAGGTATTAATACATAACACTAATGTTGTTGAATCTTCAATTAGTGTTTATCATGTTCAATATAAATGTACATGATACATAATACAAAGTTTATGTATCACACGCCAAAAAACATACTATTTGGAGCAATTACAGGCATAATGTCTTTCTAATATATATATATATATACCAATTAGTTGTAGCAGCACCTGCGACTGAAAAAATAGCTCCGGAAAACATTAAAAAGAAGAGGTCTAGGGCTGGTTCCGGAAAGGGATCGAAGAGAATGTAGCTTCAAGAATGAGGCAAGGCCAGCCCTAAGTCTAAGTTGAAGTTACAGGGCTGGGAGGTATGAGTTGATCGGATGCAGGGAAGCCCGGGCAATCCGTTCCTATCAATCATTCGTCAGGAACAAGAAAGGGTACTTATATATATATATATATATATATATATTCCAAACAAAATACAATACATAAATAATAATGTATCATGCACTAATCTTTAGGCATGATATGTAAATTCAAATTCATACTAAATGTATCCGATAATATAACAATTATCAAACAATAACATATCGATTTCAAACCTAAAATCTTATAGGCAACAATTTCTTATTTATTGTATTAGTAGAAATAAAACACTTATCAATTTAAATTGAAAGAATCTTCATGATGTATCTTTTCTAAATTTTTTATAATTTTGAATCAAAATGAAAGGATCTTCAACGAACTAGGAGAATAATTTTGAAACTCAAATTTTTCAATTTTTTTGAATCAAACTGAGGATCTTCAATGAACTAGGAGAAAAAGTTTGAATCTCGAAATTTTCAACAATCTTGAATCAAAATTGAAAGAATCTTCGATAAACTTGAAGATTCACAAAAGAAATTATTTGTCCAACAACAATTTCATCACTTTTGTATCCTTCACAACTCACCTTGTTTATCAAAAATTTCGACAAAATTTTTTGAATCAAATCTGAAAGATTTCTTCGTTGGATTATTAGGGAGTAAGAATTGACATTGTACATATCCTGCAGGTTTCATGTCACCTTTTGTTGGCAAATATAAAAAATGTACTTTTAGAGAATCTAAACTAGATGTACTATCACATGTGCATGCTTTTAGGTTAAGTCCATGGATGAAGAATTCTACCATCAGATTTGAAAATGCAGAAAAATGGGAGCATCAAACTAGAGAATGTTTCCAGCATCAAACAAGACAGATTTTATCAAGCAATACAATATGTTATGAACAATATTATGTGTGTATTCTCAGATATTTATCTATGTATAATTGAAAGTAAGAAGAAACGTAAGAAGATCAAAATATTCATTATGTATCGTATGGTTTTTTTAGCTAATGGATGAAATAGAGAGAAATGAACAAGAATAATTTTTTTATTTTTTATTTGTTACACTATTAAATTATTGACAATAATTTGGAATGGAATAGAGCAATTTATGGGATCTTAATTTGGTTTTCAGTTTTTTTTCATTAATTAGTGCTGATACTAGAGATCTTAATTTGATTTTCAGTTTTTTCCTTAATAAGTGCAACAGATTGATGCATAATATATTTAGATCTTTATATGTATCCGAAATATCTAAAACACATAAGGAAATGCACAAGTACCCCCTCAACATATGCCCCGAAATCCCAGAGACACACTTATACTATACTAAGGTCTATACCCCCTGAACTTATTTTATAAGTAATTTTCTACCCTTTCAGCTTAAGTGACACTAGCTTGAAAAAAAGTCAATCAGCGTTGGGCCCACAATATAGTGCTACGTAGGCAGAAAAAAGGTAGAAAATTATTAAAAGTTCAGGGGGGTGATAGGACCTTATTATAGTATAAGTGTGTCTCTGAGATTTCGAGCATACGTTGAGGGGGTATTTGTGCATTATCACAAAAAACATAGAATATTTGTAATTAGAAAAAAAATAGGGATAGCATGTAATTTAGATTTTACACTATGAAATTTATGTAAATTATACTTTTAACTTTCCACAATATTTCATAAAACTATTTTATCCTTTACCTTATGTTATTTAATTAAAATTCTAGTCAAACCTCCCACCTTAAAACAATTTAAGGATATTTTAGTAAATTTATAAATTTCAATACAATACGATACAATCAAACCAAATAACAAAAATATTATAATTAAACAACAACAAACAGTACATTTTAACCAAACATTATATATATTATATAATATAATATAATAATATATATTATAAAATAATAGATAACAATAATCCATCCCGAGTGTAAGTGAAAATAAATGTCAACTTAGGTGGCTAACTGTAGAATCAGTTTTGATCAACAATAGAGTTAAAAGGGAAAAGAAAACTTTGATTGTGTCTTGCTATATTAAAAATATTTTTATATTATTTAACTTATGGTATAAAATATCAAAATTGAAAAAAATACAAAATTTAGAATGACACACTTATTTTAAGAAAAAAAAAAGCGAAAACGTTTGAATTCAAACGAAAGAAGTCCTTAAAGTTGAATTTATACTACACCCCTTTTCATTTTATACCCACAAATTTTTCTAGTTTATCTAAAAAAAATTATCTTACTATTATAAGAAATAATTTAATTTTAAAAATTATTTTTACTTTATAACAATATAATCTAAAATTCATTTTTCTTTTTAATTAAATACATTATCAAATTAAAATTATATCATATCGAATGAAAGAAAAAAAAAGTATATATTGACTAATACAAGTATCTGACAAAAAAGTCACCCCCAACAAACTTATATGTCATCTTGTCATCAATTTCATCCTTATATATATATATATATATATATATATATATATATATAATAAAA